TATTGTTGTATTGTTGTAATTATAATTGTGTCCTGTCTTGTGAAATTTTCTTATTTATTGTTGTAGTCTTCTTATTTATTGTTATTGTCATCCTGTAAAGCGCTTTGAGAAGCCACCTTTAAAGGCGCTATATAAAATAAAGTTTATTATTATTATTATTATTATAAAATAAAATGGACCTGCTTGTTTAAAATCACATACTCCTGCATTCCTGTTACTCACACATGTAACATGACTTCTCTGTGGCAGGTTTAAGTACATGCTCAAGAGTCCTAGAGATAAGTATGGCTGCTGTCTGACAACTCCCAGATAATTGCAGAACATTTCAAAACAAAAGGTCATTCTGCACTGAGACAAAATGATCTCAGGGCATTCCTGGAAAGGCAGGCCAAACTTTTGTCCTAACTCAGTTTGTGTAATGAAACGTTTGTTACCATTTACAAGTATTTTCTTTACTGTCTTTGTATATGGAACAATGAATTTATGTCATTACGTAATTTGCAAGAGTAGCAGACAATTTGTCAAAGATGTCACTGAAGAAAACCAACACTATTCATTTCTGATTTGTTCTAACCTTGAATGTTCAATTTGCACAGAAATAAATTCATTTTTCGAAGTATTGAATTCACAACAGAACCATTTTACCTCATTTGAAACCTGAATTCAGATGTGGAAAGCTTTCTATTACATCTCTCAACCTTACTTTTCTCACGTCTACATTTTTAAAAATAAATCTTAATCGGGGTAAAGGTCATAATGCTGTATTAGTTTCTAAAAATGATTGGTTTAACCATCATAATGCTTCTCAGAGATCTGTAATGTAAATCAATATTTGTAAAGTCTTCCAGCCTGTTACTGAGGAGCTCTTAATAATGGCACTGTAATTTCAAGAAATAAAGGAAAAAAGACATTTGTGGCCAATAAATTGCTTCATGTTCCCCTTTGTCTCACTGGAAAGAGAACACCCACACCTAAGTAAAGCTTACAATGTTTATTTCAGAACTTACCTGGGGGGCTTGGAACTTTGGATAGATCTTGAAGATTCTTGGCAATTTCAGAGATTTCATTCTGGCAATTCTGGAAGGAGTCCTTCAGTCCATGGATGTCCCGGGACTGAGTCTCCATTGTCCCATTGAGCTGATGGACACAGGTCCACAGGCTGGTCACATGCTTGTTGAGGCCCTCCTTGATCCTCTGCAGGCTGCCAGAAATTGAATCCAGCTTGCCGCACACACTCTCCACATTGGACACCCGGCCGTCCACATTCGAGACCTCCTTCTTGATGTCTTGGGTGCTCTCCTTACACTGACTGACCTCTGTGGTGATTTGTTTAGTAAGTTGATCCAGCCTGTCTTTCAACTCATCCAATTGACTACTGTTTCCATTCATCTGGGACATGTGATTATCCAGCATCTCCTGGATTTTATCAGCATCAGAACTGAAGGTGTTGTCCCTTCTACAACAAGTAGAATTAATGTGGAGGAGATCTTGTGTGTATTTACTCAGAGAATCCCCTAAACCTTTAACGGCACCCCTTAAACCACTGACATTATCTTTAAGAGAGACAATTTCACCCTCCATGCCTGCTATGCTCTGGCTGTTAGACTGGATAGCCAGCAGCTGTTTGTCAACAGCACTCTGAAGTGCTGTGAGCATTGCAGTGTTGGTATTCATATTTGAATGCATATACCTTAAGTTATTTTTGTAGTTCTGAAGATCCCGGAGAGAAGTTTGGATGTCTTTTGAACTGCAATCAGCAGAACATGAATTATTGATTGCCTTTAATCTTTCTTCTAGACGTTTCATTTCATTTTGGACAAGATGCTTATGGGAAATCAACTCATTCTGTAGATTATCTATTAAATCAACATATATTTGAGTGGAAGCGCTGTTTCTCGTTTCCAAAGATGGGACGGATAATTGGTCCTCCAAAGAGTTCAGTCTGTTATCAAACAGATCTCTCAATCTATCCACTTCATCTGTAATCTGCTGGCTCAGTTTCGCTTCTATGTAAAAGCAGTGCACTTCAGCATTGCTCTCTGTAACATTGATTCTGGACTCGAGCTCATCAAGGCGCTCCCTGGAATCATCTTCAATTTGAAGAGTAGCGAAGCGTTCCAGCTCATTATCAAGCCTTGCATTGAGGATCCTGTGGGCTTCTGCAATACGATCAACCTTCTTTTCAAGGTCATCTGTCTCGGCTTTAACAGGGGAACCTGACTCACAGCAGCTATTGTCCTTCCTGGCCCCATGTGACCCTTCCACCTTTACCATGAGATCTTTAATCTCTTTCCTGAGGCCTGCCTCCTTGGTCTCATAGAGCTCTGTCAGGCTGAGGTAGTTGGCTTCATTTTCTTCACACTGCTGCTGGACAGACAATATATTGTAATCACAGGAGTTTTTCAGATCAGCCAACTTGATCTCCATGCCTTCCAGTATCTCCACTCTTAGCTCCTCAAACTTGCTGTCAACATAGGCCTGGTAAATATCGAAAGGGGGCGCTGTAGCATGGGCACCTTGGGCAGCTTCCATGAGGACCTTAAGCTGCCCATCATGCCCGTATACTTTGCTGTGCAGGTCGTCCAACATCTCAGTTTTGGTTTTCAAGGTGTCCATTACATTGTTGAACCTGGACATCACATCCCCCATCCCGTCCTGCTCTTTGCTGTGTTCAAAGCCATTCACATGAATGCTCTCTGTCTCCCCGCCCACTGCACTGTCAGGCAGCTTCAGGTTGTTCAGCAGGGTAAGCAGCATCGTGCTTGTGTCCTCCTGGATGTTCACTCTGAGGTTCTCGGTCATCCCAGTCAAGGCAGCCTGCAGGTCCAGAACGGTCTGAGAGAGCCGCTGGACCTCATCTTCCAGCACTTGTATCTTCCCCTCCTGGTTCTCCGGCACTCCTGTCTCTTTCAGCCCTGGTTCTGCAAGACAACCAGCATCTTCATCACTCAAACTGTAAGTCACACAAAGTGCAATTTTGTCTTGAGTGCCAATATAACAAGATGATAATTATCAGTTATGTGCAACTCAAAATCCTAGAACAGTTAACTATTAACACAGAGGTGTGTAAAACAGGCATAGATTAATTAAATTTAATAAATTTGATAAAAGCTTTAATTGCTTGCTCATTGATAGTTAATTTAAGTTCAGAATCCACTAAATCCTTCTTAGTTGTAAAGACTGAGATCTGCCTGGCGTGTTATGAAGGTGTTATGATTTATGCACTGCAAGCTTGATAAAACGTCCCACATTATACCGTGGTTGTGTATATACCAGATCCCAAGATAATGTACCCCAAGATTAACATGTTTATAAGTTCATCATTATATTAGCAGGTTTACAGTAATGACCTCCAAAAGAAACAAAATACTAAGAAAAGGTGTAGATTACAGAGTTAAAAGTGATGGATGACTTGTAGACTCCGTAGAAGACAAAGCAGGGCTTCAAAGAAAGAAAATAAGACTTTTTACTAAATTTGGTCAAATCTAGTTCACTTATAATGGCAATAAACGTTGTCCTTGATATCTTTATAATAAAGGGGTGAACTGTATCTAAATTAAGTGTAGTCCCTACCTTAACTTGCAAAAGATAACAGGAATGTACAAGATGGACTGTAGCATGATATACATTCATGTACAGTAGTACTGTCTGAATAACTGGAATGTTGGCTTTACACTGTCAGATTCAATTAAACAAACAATATTCTCCAAATTAAGCTCATGTTTTAGCTGTCGAAGTTCAAAGTGGACATAATGAGATTGGAAAATATTCATTAAATTTGTTATAAATAGGTCTTCAATGGGTATTTAAGTAGAGGTATATGTTTTCTATGGGGGGAAAGAATTTCCACCAGCGACAGTACAGTATGTGGCTATATGCATTTATCAGAGGTGTTACTAACAAGAACGTATACTCCTTCATTAAAGGAAAATCAATTTAGCATAATATTACATTATAAGTGCATTACTTGGTGCATTTTGTGCAGGTATTGGGGTTCGATTGGGACCCAGTGACATTTGTCTCGATGGTGTATCCTTCAGTTCCTTGCAGTCTGAGCCCTGGAAACCAGGACAACACCTCCACTCCAGCTCAGTAATGGTCTTGTAGGCAATCTTGTATGTAGGGCGAAAGCGTGTCCGATACCTACAAAATAGTGAGAGTACTTGGATTAACATGAGCAGCACCACCTTTATTAGTTCTGCTTCTCATTTGCAGGTTTGTCAAGAAAGATGGTAATATGGATAAAGTACTAGCAAATCTTAGAGGAAAACCTACTTCAGACTAAAAACGGAGACAAAATTCAACTTTCCACAAAGCAAAACAAATGTAGCAAAAGTGTATTAAGTGTAGTTAAAGCTTAAGAATAGCAAAGTGAATGTCCTTTAGTGGGGGTGGCATGGTGCCTTGCTGCTCTGGGTTCAGTTTCTGGGGTGCTACCTGCATGGAGTTGGTTTGTTTTCTCTGTGTTTCCTTTGATCTGCCAAAGACTGACTACTAGGACAACTGTCTCGGGGGTAAATTTGCCCTGGTGTGAGTGTGCCACACAATGGACAGATGTCCCATCCAGGTTGTATCCTGCCTTGTGCCTGTTGCTTGCCAGGATAGGCTCCGGCTCCCCCATGGCTCTGTATTAGATAAAGCCATTAGCAAATGAATAGATATCCTTGAGTGGCCCAGTCAAAGTTGATGTGAATCCTACTGAGAATCTGCCTTGCTATGCCCAAGCAAATTAGAGCAACTTTGCAAAGAAGAATGTGCAAACAATGTAACAAACCATTGAGGAACGTTGGTAGAGCTTTACCCATAAGAGATCTGCAGCAGTAATTACTAACAAAGGTGCTTCCATCAAGTTGTGAGTTCAAAGGTCTGAATGCAATCAACATATTTCAGTTTTTCTCTTTAGTTTCTGGTGATGTTAACTGTAACTTATCTTACCCTCAGAAGTATTTGGTTTGAGCATCCAAGTTTTTAATATAACATTAAGCTTAAGAAAATGTACTGTTCTTGAAATCATGTTTTTAATGTCACATTTGCATCATTTTGTAATTTTAACAAATTGGGAAACCACAGAATTTGCATGGCACTGTATATTATAGTTTTATGCTTACATTGTTTAAGGACAATGTGCTTATTCTATTCCCTGTGTATATTACTGTCCATGTCTGTGTTTGAAATAAAGTACTTTTGTAGCATAATGCATGCAAGGTGCAGGAAAATAAGAATAAAAATGTTTAAATGCAAAGTACTGTAAAATCACTTTTCTTGAATACAATACATAATATTAACAGAAGATGGCAGTGCTAGGCAATGCACAGACATCCACTTGGCTACAGATAGGTTTTGTTGTTGTTTTCGATTGTTAAATTAGCATAAGAACCCATTGATTATCTAAACTATGAAGTCAAGTATTTTTTATTTATTTTATTTATTTATTGTACTAACCTTAGATAATTATTTAGTGCCAGTGGAGAAATTCCAAAATTCAACTTGATGGAAATCATGAAACATAGAAAACTGAATACAAAACACAGAATGATTGAACCTGTTAAAATTGGGGAATATGCGAAGAATAAAAGCACAATGACTGATTAATTAAAAGGCAAATCGATGAGAAAGGGGTCCTGTTCCTGACCCTAATGAAACAGGCTATTTAAAGACACACACCCGAAGAAGGCTTCACAGCCGAAATGTTGTGTTTATTTTCTTCTCTTTTCGGAGTGGAATAAATGTTTACCTGTTCCTTTGCAGCCGACGCATGCTGACGCAGCTCCCTACTTGAACTACTTAAAACATAATCAACTGACCTACTGTACCAACGTGCCTCTGGAAGGCAGCAGGAAACCAGTGTACCCAATGAAATCCCATGTGAATACACACACCAAGGCACCCCAGCCTAGAATCGAACCCAGGATCCCAGCACTATGAGGCAGCAATACACCATCCATTCCACACTTATTTATTAAATCGATTATTCAATCAAGTCAGTTTGTACACCTGAGCAAATTCCAAAGGACTATGTCTCCTCGAATCTTCATCTAACAATCTACCTAATTTAAAATGATACTCTGAAACAGAAATGCCAACTTGAAGACCTTCAGGTATCATCTTGTAAACTCTTTGTTGTCAAGTAATTCGCCTTTTATCCTCACTCCAGAAAGTCCTTGTCTAATGAATAGTTATCAGGGAGTGGTAAGGTCTAGATTCAATTAGGGCGCCTTCAGGCCCTGCTTTTATCCAGCTAGTCCTCCCCCATTCCCAAAACTCTTACTCTTACTTACTATAACGTGGGAACAGATAATGCCAAGTTTCTTAAGAAGATTATTTAACTAGTCTAGGAATATTCATAGTTCAGTCTTGCATTTCCTTCACATCACCACAGTCTCAATTTACTAGAGGAGGACCAGTTCTTACAAACATCCGATTGTGTAGCTGCCTTTGAAGACCCATTATATACAGCTTTGCGATATGGGATACCCCTTACTGTTCTGCACTACTGTTAAAGCTCCTGGCAGGAAAACAGTGTGATCTACCTGCGTATTATTGTTAGCCCATTCAGTATGTTCTTTAGTTTCATTTTCTAAACAGTAAAACAGAAAACAAAATATCCTCAAATAAGAAGAAAAAAGCACAATGGACAAATATGACTTCAACCTGAATTGGTATACATAGCTAGTGTACAATAATGTATTGGAGACATAGCAGAAACAAATGGTCAAAGCTTAAAAAGATGATGACAACAATCAATTACATTTGTTCCTCAAAGGGAAATTTAACTTATCTGAACATCCATCAGTGCCACACTGCTTAGGGGATGATACATAGAGCACTGGATCCCAGCTATTAAATGTATTTACTTAAACAAACTCCAGATGGTTTTCCATTTCAAGTGCCTAATTATTATTTTCATTGCAGCTCTTTCCTACAGTACTTTCCATAATGTACAGTATGTCCTCTAAAATATTATGCTTTGGTGCATTACCTGCTTAAACTACTGTAAGATTTTTTATCCTAAAACACACTGAGGACAGCTGCAATAAAATTCAACACATTTATTCAACTGTGATGAAAAGGCCATCATGTCTTGTCGATTGTATGTAGGCTGTAAAATGTATGACAACTGGAAAAGGGATTTGGCTTTAATTCCCCTTATGGGAATGACAGTGTATGAGTTTGCATTTTTACAGTCTAAAAAGTGATTCAAAACAAAGCTTGTATTAATAAAATGCATTGAAAAAAAGAGCAATAATAAAGGATTAATCCATAAGGATTCTTTCATAAATTTAATACTATACAGAAAGTCCCAAAAATTAGGTTTTGTTTTTCACTTTATCAGTTACAAACTCTTAATATTTTCAGAAAGCCCTCGGATGCGACAAAGCAGCTGCTCTAGTGTTCTGACCAATAAACTTACATTCCCTCACTCCGCCCTGACCACTCTCCCGGGACACTTACATCACTTGAGGCTCGCAGTTCATCGCATTCCCCGGGCAGGGTGCAAGCTCGGACTGGACGTAACTTTCAGTTCCATCCAGTACAGCGCAAGTCACGTTCTTCTGCACAACATATGCACACCAATTCCTACAGTGAGATCATTAAAGAAGTTAAAACACGCCGACCACACCCTTTCCACACAAAAGCAAGAAAATAAAACATGATATTCAAACACGTAATACTACCATCCTGATAGCATTCCCCTTCCTGTAGATAAACACATAATTATTATTATTATTATTATTATTATTATTATTATTATTACATTTCTTAAGCGAGACGCCACCAAATGTATAAATTGAGACTCAGTTGCGAGTTTTTTTTTAACTATACAGATAACTATTGATTTTATTAAACATTTTCAGTCTAATAAATGAAGCAACTGGGAGAAAATGAAGTCAAAGACAATGTAAAAAAATGAGACTAAAAACGTTTGTGGTGATGAACAATAATGTACACGTTGTAAATGCATGGATTTAATTGAAAATCGTGAAAATACGTTTCACTGCACCACACTACACGCTTCTGTTAACGTTTTTGGTTTAAATACTGCTAAACCAAAGAAAGAAAGAAAAAAAACGTTACTTACTTATTTCTGTGCCTGTGTACAGAACCGGAGTAAGGAGCACCCTGTGAGAACAGGTTATATTTTGAAGAAAATGGAGTTGCAGAAAGTAATGAACAAGTAAGAAAGAAAATAAAACTTGCAAGTTGCCTTCCGGAGCCAGCCTGTAAACGTTTCATTTTATAATTTTATAGTGCATGCATTGAATAAAAGGTTTTCCAGCTCTAGATCCTCCAATGTTCAACGGGAGAGCTTGTTTCTCACAGTGTGGCCAAACTGACTAAAGGCTAAGCGTTTCGTCGAGTTTCTCAATCTCTGCTCGGATGTAGCGACTCAAGTCCACAGGATTTGCTCTCCCTCTCCCTCCCCCTCCCGCATCATTCACCGGCTATTGTCTGTTTGGCATCTGTTTTTTATGTGCAAAGTCGATACTACTATTTCCCTCTAGCAATGGTTGCTGGTCAGAATAAAATAGAACTGAAGTTTTGGTTTAAGTTTTAATTTAAGTTTGGTATAAATAAAAGAAAATGATTTTAGGCTTAGATACCAATGAGCACTCTGAGATTTTCACAATTTTTTCTTTAACGTTATTTACTCATTTTACAGTAAACGCATCTTTACTGACAAAAGCAACTGTGGTTGTGTGTATCAAAAAGTTACATTTCCCACAGTTAAACAGCCTATATATTGTGGGTATAAAAACACAAAAGGAAGTATTAAACTGAGTCTGACATGACTAACTTGGGAAAGATGCAGAAATTTTCCCTCCCACGGTTCAGTCTAACCTAAATGAGCTGAATGAGCAAACTATAATTTCAAATCATAACCCTGTTTAAAATGCTCACTGGCATATTTCAAATTAAAACGGGTCTGGTTCATTGTTTAAAGCATTACAGGCAATATGCAAAAATAAAATTGTGGTACGGTATATACAGCAATTGTTTTTTTAAGTGTGTCTAATAAAAAGGGACACCAAAAAAATCATGTTTGCTACAGTTGCTAAACTAAATTTTGTGACCAGGCCTGCTACATACTTTACAGTATTGTTTCAAACATGAAAACTATAGGAGAATGGTACAGTAGATACAAGACATTACCCCCATCAGAATAAGAAGAGGTTAAACCCATGGTAAAATGTAGGAAGAAGGAAGAAATGTTTTGGTTGAGGAACAACAGAGGCTGAGGAGAGAGAGAATGTGAGAAGGGATTCAGAAGTTATAGGGGTATAGGGACAGAAATATGGGACATGACTTCCAGGGTGAAATTCCAAAATCTTTAACTGAATAAAGAGATCAGTAAGAAATACCTGACCACTTCATTACCTACTGTACAAAAGCACTATGATCTCCAGAACCTAAAGTGTCTTGAAAAAGTATTCAGGCCCCTCCTATGGTGGTCCCTTTGTGAAATTATAAAAGGATGCATCTGCAATCTTTAAACTTAATATTTTAGTCACAACTTGAATGCTTAACTCAAACTGAAGACAGCTAAGGGTACAATAAGTAACAGTTATATCAGTAAAAATCAGAGAGAAGAATCTGAAATATCTTGATTACATAAAATTCAGACCAATGAACTCAGCATTTGTTGGAAGCATCTTTTACAGCTATTACAGTCTTTTAGAGTGATATTCTACCAACTTTACACACCAGCTTGGTGCAGTTTTTGCCCAGTCCTCCAGAAAGATTTCTCAAGATGCTTGTGAATTCCTTACAGACAGCAGTTTTCATATCTTTCCAAAGATTCTCAATAGGATTCAGACAGTAGTCTCATAGGGCCACTCAAAGACATTCATTTTCTTATTTTAAGCGACTCCAGCCCTAGCACTTAGGATCATTGTACAGCTGAAAGATCATTTCTGACACATTCTTAGGTTAGCAGATTTGACTTAGGATTTGCTAGTACTTTGCTCCATCACATATCCTAGTCCCTGCTGATAAGAACCAAAACTATATCATAATGCAACCCACTACTATGTTTGATAGTAAGGATGGCCATGCCTGAGTAATGGCTACCATGTGTTGGATTTGCATCAGAAATAATGCTTTGCATTACATAAAAAAGATTTATGCAGGATTTGAGATTTTATTAGTTACATGCAAGCCCACTTTGGAGAGTGACATTTTCTCAAATCTGAACTCTTGCAAAGGTGCCATTGGCCACACAGCAGCATCTATCAACACTTTGCTCCTTGCTTGGCTACTCAGGATGGATAGCCTAATCTAGGCAGTGTCTGGGTGCTTTCCTCTTCTTAATGATTAACATTACCATGTTCAAAGACATATTAAGGATCTTTATAATAAATTATACCCTTCTCCTGTTCTACACAATATGCATTAATACAACTTTAATCCTTGAATTGTTTTGAAACTCCTGTGATGATCATGATTGAGTCTCTGCTTGAAATTCACTACCTGACTTGTGGTGTGCCATAGCAAAGAGTTTGAATACATACACCATCATGACTGTTACATTTTTTTCATACTAATTATCTCTATACTGTACTTCTTTTTGTCTTTTTTGTATACAAAAAATATTAATTGTTTCTTCGAAGTTATGGACACTTCCTTCAGATTCATATGCAGTCTTTGTCTTTGTGAATTAAATATGACCCCAAGAATGACATTACAGTATGTGAACTTATCTTGGAAACATCATAAGAGCTCGTCTCACAGCATGGGGGAGAGTGTTTAAACACACAGAACTTAAGGCACAGGAAAACATGGGCCACTGTGGTGTGGACATACAAGAACATGTTCAAGAAAACCAAAACATGAATGCAGCCAAATTTCACACTATTTTGTAGCATTTTATATGACCTGCTTTATCAGATAGTAGCATTGCCATGTGGAAGTGTTTATGCACAAAATACTTCAGTTAGAAGCACTTCGACTTCAATGTTGGGATTCCGGCTAATTGAGTATCATTAGATGAGTTGCAGCTTGCAGACCCTTAAAAGAAGAAAGGAATTCCACTCCTGTAAGCAACAAATTGCAACCTTAAATTCACTGTCAAGTACTGAAATGTAATTTCTCATTATAAATACCTGAGAGAGCCTCTGTACCCCAAAACGCCCGTGAAACCTTAATGTGAAACACAAAGTACAGGATATTATTGTAAAGTGAGTGATAGCTAGCATCTAGTCTGGTGGTCCAGACAAGCCCCACGCTGACAGTAATTATTAGTTTCAGAGAAGTGCCAAATGACCCCACCAAGACTGTTTATTATGATTCCTCCAAGTGTTGTTATTTAAGGTCAAGAGAATAGAAAGGAAGCATCAATTGAAACATGCATTTTTTTCTGAAGATTTTTTTCCACTTCTGAAAAAGTGAAAAAAAAAGTGATGAAGCAATAAAAAAACAAACAGAATGCTTGGGTATTGCAAAAAAAGTATACAATTGAAATCCATCTTAACATGCTTAAGTTCTAGAATACACACAGAAAGCCTAATCTAGAAGACTTTATTCAGTTTTGGTCACCACCCAACCAAAGATAAGATATAGTAGTTTTAGAGAGTTCAAAGGAGAGCAACAAAAATTATTACTGGATAATTCCAGTCCCTGGGTGATCGAGACACCTTTAGTTAAACAGCTAGACAATTTTAGATTCACTTAGCTACTAAACTACCAAACAAATAAGACAGGCTGAATTCCTTCTCTCATTTGCAGACCTTATATTCTTAATTTAGCTGCTGAAGTATAGATTTGAAATGATTATTGACAAAAGGAAAAAGTAGGTCTAAATGGCAAAGTGTCACCCATATTACAACAATGGCTGGGAACCCAACTTCTCAGATCATATGTATTTAGTATCTATACAAGATGGTCCTGTTGAAATCCTAAGGAAGGTGGACAGATCTTTTTTGTGGATAAAGCACATAGGTTGACATTGTTCTTCTGGAGGCTGCAACATGTCCTGGTTGTCACTGCAGTGCACAAACAACTTCTCTTTAAAAAAAAGCATGCAACCAAATGAGAGGGGTCTCCACTGCAGCTTTCTTTTTCTTTATAGAAATGGAAATTGAGGTTTTATCAAATTCAGGTACAGTAGGTACAGCAGTTGTATTAGCAGGCATAGGCCACAAAGAAATAGGTAAAGATTTATTCCATGGAGAAAGGATGACACCTAATGAAGGCTCCATAGCCAAACTCTTTTTTTCCATACAGCATGGAATAGACTTTTGGCTGTTCCTTTGATTTAATCTTCAACTGAAAACCGTGACAATCCACCACTATCACCAAAGAAAAACTAAAACCAATCAACATCAGTCCCAGCCCCCTCTAGATGTCAATTAGTTTGGGTGAGTGTCCTCTTATTTTCTATGAACTTTAATAATTTAACATTAAGAGTATTATTACTTTGATACTTAAATGCTATGTTAGATTGAAACGTATTTATATTAAATGATCTGCTAGACTTTGGGTGTATATTAGATGCTTTAGTTTCTAAAAAAAGCAAAGAAAAATGATAAACCAAGATAGAAATGCGTTCACAAAACAGCATAAATCCAAAAAACCATAATCCAATGATCCACTCTGGGTCACAAGGATCTGATGGAATATTTACAGATACTTAAAGATTACCAACATTCAGTCTCAGAAAATGGTTCATTTGATGTCAGGAATCCTCAATGAAAAGGTATACAGATCCTGTGCAGATGCAGGAGTAGGTACTGTAGGTGACGAAGCAGGCGAACAATCTGGTACATACTGTAAGGCGAGTCCGTGGTGAAAAGGAGAAAGGTGGTTCGAAATCCAGGAAGTACAAATAGTGGCAAACAATCCGAAACGAGAGGCGAGGTCCAAAGTTGAAAGGCAAAAGGGAAGTCCAGAACCCAGAAGAACACGAGGTACAGCATAAACGCCAGGTAGAGCTCTCAAGGAGTAGACTCAATACCAAACAGCAGGAAGCGGGTTAGGATGGTTTTGTAACGCAACGGGGGCTCTGGCGGGCGCCTTTGCCGCATCTGGTCGGCCCCATCCCGACTGGAGGCTCGAACCCGGGACTTCCGCGTCTCTCTGCAGCGACCTAGCCCCGTGAGCTAAAGAGAGATCTCTCCACAGCCCAGTAGCTGTGGTCCTGCTATCACAGGGAAGGGCGGTGACGTCACCCGCTCTGGTACGCTGGCTCTTACACACACTGCTTGTCGGCCGTAAGCGTTACACTCTCCCCCGCTTAAATCGCCGTCCCCGGCGAAGGGCTATCCCGCCCCGCTTCTGACACCAATGTAACGCAACGGGGGCTCAGGCGGGCGCCCTTGCCGCATCTGGTCGGCCCCATCCCGACTGGAGGCTCGAACCCGGGACTTCCGCGTCTCTCTGCAGCGACCT